GCGTCCTGTGTGCAGAAGCGATTAGAGTTAGTTCCACCAGGGTCGAAAATTATGATAGGCACAACCATCTAGTACTTTTGTAGTTTATGACAACTTCTTCTAAAGCCCGTATCAGACTATAGATTAGAATTGAGATTGAATTGAAATTTAGCCAATCAGAGCAAAATTCACTAAGCTCAAATTTGGTGAACTTTGCTCTGATTGGCCAATTTTCAGTTCAATCTCAATCCTAATCTATAGTTTGATACGGGCTTAATTATAACATCTAAATAATAAAAAGATATTATCCACTTCAAGTCGCAAACGCCAGTCTTTTTTTAAGCCGCTACGCTTACTAACTTTAATTGTCATTAGAAAACACTAGTTTACTCAGCCGACTAGTAGGCTGAGTTCCCACTAAGCGCGTCACGTGTCGCGTCGTCTGCCTACGTCACGAGTTAACCAATGAAATCCTCTAATGACTCCTGCACACAGGACGCGGTAATGCTTGCCGCGGGGTGGGACCCGATTGATCACGATATGATTGGACACAAATTGTAATGATTGGTTCGACTTAATAATTCACTAGATAATTCTCTTCATCGGTTGGTTGTGTCCAATTGTACCGCGGTCAATCCGAACGCTCCCCTTGTCGCGCGGCGAAAATCCGCGATAGCCAATCCATAGGTTTGTCGAGTTGCTTGTACTTTTCACACTTTTACACCTAATGCCCGTTGCACACTAGTGCACTCCAAACAACAAAAAATGGCGTCATGTTTTCCGTTCGTGTTACGAGTGTTAATGCAATTCTGATACACTTTTCACTCTTGCTTGGGATCAAGTGTAAAAAGTCTATCAAAATTGCAATCACACTCGTAACACGAACGGAAGTCATGACATTATTTTTAGATCTCTAAAGAATTAATGTGCACTAAGTGTGAAAGTGTAAAAAGTTCAATTAATGCGAATAAACTTATTGGATATTAACTATTTTCAGACAGCTCACATCTTCAAAGGACGTCCTAAAAATATTCTGATGACATCCCTCCGTCCTAAAAGCATCTTCAGAACGTATTTTGGAAAATTTGTATTGTATTGTATGAGGTGCACTAGTGTGTAACGGGCATTAGCTGTAAAAGTGTGAATAGTACAAGCAACTCGAACAAACCTATTATGTTGGTTTTCCGTGAAGAGCTAGAAGGTTATTACGCAAAGCAGCATATTGATTGGCTGTCGCGCGAACTTCCGCCGCGCGGCAAGTATTACCGCGTCCTGTGTGCAAGAGCTATAAGGCTGAGTTCCCACTGAGTGCGTCACGCGTCGCGTCGTCTGCTTGCGTCACGAGTTAACCAATCAAATCCTCTAATTCAGCCCTCGAGCTGAGTTTGGATGCATAGTGTTGTGTCGACAATTACGACAATTGGAATGCAACTTGTGTCGCTGTGTGCATGAAAGTATCTAGGGATATTGCAATTGGAAAGCACCCGGAATCTGAACGCACCTCTAGTTTAGTAAAGACATCTGTGGCTTACGATCTGACTATTAAAACTGGCTTTGAAGAGTCGTTGTCTGGCCTAGTGCTGCCACACCCGGTTTTGCGAGACGCCATCACTAGCACTATGTCTAGAAGGTTAATCAGCCTGTATGTATAACACAGTGTCCCGTTTTTACTCTATCTTGTATTCATTGTTACAAAGGCAAACTAAGAACAGATTGTGAGTGACGTTTACCAATTTTTGGCAGAAGAAATTATTGAAATTTTATTTACATTACGCTTATAGTAAGTTTTTTTAAATAATAATTATAGTAGTTAATATAGTATAATATAATTATAGTAGTTTTTCTTAATAATAATATTTTATAATAGAAATATGAATTTTTAATTTGTTATAAATAGTTGTCAGTGTTAGAAGATATAAAGTGTTGCATTTCCAAGAGTCTAACAATATGATGCCACTTTAAAATAGCATCTTATTTATGTTTGATTTATGTTGTCATAGTTAAAAGAAATTGTTTTTTGAATGTGAAGATAATTTAATATTGGGTTTTAGAAAAAAATATTTCACTACATCAAAGAGTTTTCACATTTCAGGATATAAAAATAAATGAACTGTCATGGATATTTACACTAAAAACAATGTGCAGTATTTAGTAATAGTTCATCAACAAGCACTGTAATTTTTTCCATCTTAGAATATTGGAATTAAAAGAGGAATAAGTTAAACTAATAACATAATATAGCATCAAGAAGAATTATATATTCAATTAAAAGTAAAGCATCATATGCACATACATGATATTGTGTTAATCACATTATATCTTTGCAAAGGTATTAAGCTTTTATTATATATGTTTCTATAGTTATCAGAATTATATTTTTCTTTAATATGAAAATAATTAGAAAATATAGCAAAGAATTATAGAATTAAAGCGTACTTATTTATATTAAATCAACAAAAAGTTCAATTTGAATCAAATTTGATTTAATTTTTGTATATTTAATAGAAATATATTATTTATTAGCCAAGTGTAATTGTCGCTATTATCTATAATTCTTTGTTAATATCCTGGAAACATTTATATGCTTTTGTCATAGATGGTTGGTAATTGAAAAAGACAAGAAAACAAATCAAACTTTTTGATTAACTTTTTGATTAACAATATAGGTACAAAGTATTAAAATTATATTCATAGAATATATATGTGTAGAGTATCATACATATGCTCTATTCATGTATTATTATTTTGTATCATATTTATATTGCAGATTATAAAATGTGTCTAATACAATATGCATGTCTGTTTGTAGATAAAATTCATCAAACTGAATAAAAATTTTTTTTATCAATTTACAAAAATGCATGAATTATCATTATTATTGAGATATTAATTTAAGAAAATTAGCTAATAAGTGTGCATGATGCTTAAAATATCTGAATCTATTGACACTTTTAGCAATGATGGATAGTGTGTAATGTGGGTCTGCATGCTTTCATTGTCTAGCATCACATATTACCTGATGTTGTCAAGAGATTGTCAATAAATTCAGATATTTCGAATAAGACTTTGTCTTAAATGAGAGCTTATCCCGCTACATTCATTTGCATTCATTTGTTAATTTTCTTATTTAATATCTCAATAATTATCATGGTTTCTTGCAGAGTGATAAGAACATTCTTGTTCAGTTTGATGAGTTCCACCTACACATGAGCGGACGTGCATGTTGTGTTAGAAACAATGTATTGACATACATATTTTAAAGAAATCATATTTACAACAATTCTAGATAGATATATTATCATAGGAAAAAATAAATATCAATTAACAGCAAACTTTTTATTGTAATTAGATACAATATCATGTTATTAAATTATTTTGACATTTATGTCTAAGATAATTTGATTATATTTTGCTCTTTAAAATTTCTTTAAAGAGCAAAATAAATTTTAAAGTTTTTTTAAGCTATGTCTAAATAACTTAAAATAACTTAAGTTATTAATAATCGTTTGTCCTTATAGTTATTGCTTTAAATTAGATATATCTTATTTATTTTTATTAGTGTATAATAGTTGGTATATAATATAATATTAACTTATATATTATTACATTGTAATATCATATAATATGTAATACATATATAATACATACATAAAAAATATATATATATATATATATATATATATATATATATATATATATACCATTTGCATATAGAATTGATTTACTTGTAATGTATGATAACAAATATGTGTAACTATGCATTAATAATGAAAATATGGCATTAATTCTTGACATATCAATAAAGAAACATAAAAAAATTATCAAAGTAGAAACAAATTTAGTATAAGATATCAAACACAGATATAACTTATATAAAGATTACTTTGTCTCATTGGTTATATAGAATATCCAGATAGCACAGAGAATTCAAAAAGAATTCAGTCATACGTCACCAATACTGAATTTATTTTCAGAAGCAAAAAAAATTTTTCACAGTTCAATTTAGTGAAAAGAATTTTTGTATATGTAATCCTTTGTATCTGAAAATAAACTCAGAATTGGTGACATATGATTGAATTCTTTTTTAATTCTCTGTGCTATCTGGGTATGTATCTCTTTAATAAATCACTTATATTGTTTTAAAGAATGTTGAATAATAGTTAATTTAAAACTGAACTATTTCTTATGAAAATATATATTTTGTTTATATTTTGTTTATATACTTATTTTGTTATATACTTATTTATATTTTGTTTATACTTTAAAAATCTATTATGTTTCTTTTTATATTAATCATTTCTGTTCTACAATTACAATAATTTCTTTAGCTCATAGAATATTAAATTAGAATTTTGTCATGACCAAGTTGGTTACCACTATTGTATTCAAAAGAAAAATAACTTTTATGCCATTTTATACAATACACGAAGTCTAATAAAAAATATTTATTTGTGGCTGGGAAGAAAAAATAACTTAACTTTAAACTTAAGACTCCAATACCCTTCAAAATAGGCTTTTTTGATTTTGTATATTTATTCCAGCGATCTTTTCACTACTGAAAACATTTTTCATGATCACTTTGTGATATTACTAACAGGTGCTTTGTTACATTACTCTTGATTTCTTTTGTGTTTTCAAATCTCGAAGTTTTTAATGATATATTCAATTTGAGAGAGTATTACGAGTGTGTTATGAGCTTCTATTCTGCAAACGTGGCTTCCTGCAACTTTCAGCTATATTCCAAACTGAAGGTAGTGGAAAGGCACGCCAAAAGTAACTAAACAAGTATGCAAAATTAAGAGTCTACTTTGAAAGGCATTAAGATTCCAATCAATCCACTTAATTAGTTATAATCACTCCACTTGTTGTGTGGATGTATTGTGTTCAGTCGCAACACATCTACACAATTCACCAACGACTTTATTTTTCTTAGATAAATGTTCAGAAGTGCTACTTCATAAAAAATCGTGGTTTTTTTTTAATACTTGATAGAAATAGCTACAAAAAGACATATATACAAGATTTTAGGACGGGGGGGGGGGG